CTGCTAAAATCTGGAACAGTCTTCCTGAAGATGTGAGACAGGCCTCCTCTCTGACAATGTTTAAAACCAGGTTAAAGACGGTTCTGTTTAGCTGTGCATACAACTGAGGGATTTTATATTTTTATCTTTATTTTTTTAATGCACTGTGATTATTTATGATTTTAATGCTTTCTTGTTCTGTTCAGCACTTTGAATTGCCTTGTGTATGAATTGTGCTATACAAATAAACTTGCCTTGCCTTGCCTTGCCTTGAAGAACATTGGGCAGCTGGTGTTGTTGTACGTGTGCTTTACAAATAAAGTTGACATTGACATAAAAGAAGCAAGAATAAAATCTCTATCTTTAGCATAATGTGGAAAGACAAACTTCAGCACGATGTAGAAGCAAGACTTAAAAATATATATAATATAGTAAATTCCGACATTAGTATTGTACAATGAATAATTAATCATTCGAAATAAAAACTACTACAACATCCACAATAATGTGTAAATGCGCCGGCGTAAATCCTACTCTCCGCTTTATTCCTCCCGGCACTCGTCGCCGCCCTGTGGAGACCGGGAAGTCCAGCCCAAAGCCTGTCTTCTCTGGGACCTTGAGTGACCGGCTCGACAAAGACGCCGTTAATCAGTGCGCCTCACCGCCGCCGGAAATAAACAGCACATATTAATAGGAGCTGTCGGCCACGCTAAACGCTCTCCCTCTGGTGGCACTCGGGCAGCGCCGCCATGCATCACGCCGCCTTTGTCACCAGGGTCATGTGATAAGAGCCATATGTCTGCGAGACGGAGAGGTTCTGAAGCTGCACAACCAGCAGAAAGTACTGTACCGGAAAAAAACAAAAAGTAAAAACCAAAACAGACAGTCTTCTTCTTCTTCCTTTAATGAATAAACGTGTTCTCTTTTGCATGTGTAAGATGAGATAAAGTGAGATTAAATGTTATTGATAAAGAAATATTTGTGTATTATACTTAATTCTTGCTTTTTATGCTTATTTTTTTATACTGATGCTAGATTTCATACTTGCTTCTTTATTATGCTAACATTACAGATACTAGACTTGCTTCTTTATTATGCTAAAGCCAGAGATTTTAAAATTGATTTATTATTATGCTAAAGCTAGAGATGTTAAACTTGCTTCTTCATTATGTTAAAGTTAGAGATTTTATACCTGCTTGTTTATTATGCTAAAGTTAGAGATGTTATACTTGCTTGTAAAAATTAAAAAGAGTTTAATTATCTTGTGTGTAATAAATGAATCGTAGAAACCCTGTGAGTCATTATTTGACCCTTTGGGCTGAGTGAGAAAGGATTGTCTTCTCTTTTCCATATTTTAAACTGAAAAAGAGGATTGGAGGATGTGACAAAGGCTTAAGCTAAAAGTGATGGAACCGAACTGTTTGAGATGGATGGATTTCATGGTTAATTTGTGTGGTTTGTAAGCGAGGTACCCCAGCTTTATCTCATTCAAAGCAACAAGGAAACACACTTTTTTGCAAGTAAACAAGGACTTTTATGTTAAAGATGCAGTTAGTTTAGCCGTAGCACTAACTGGAAACCACTCCCCCCTTCCGTCGCCTGTCCACCAAACCAAACATCCAGCATTTTCTTTTCTTTGTCATAACTGGGAGAGTGGGTGGCAAACGTGAAATTGGCCTTTTCTGTTCGTCCTTTTTAGGTTTTAGAAAATAATCCAATCACTCAGGTGTGTACTCGCGAGAAACAGGAAGAGGGTGAACGGGGTAAACGCATCCCATTGGTTCGTTGTGGACGAACGAATCCCATTGGTTTATTTTTATCGGTCCAAACCAAAATATTTTTCTATAATTTTTGTAGACAATAGGCATCTGGTCAATTCCAATACTATTTCAAAACACATGATTACTTGCCTACTTTTAGGGTTTAGGGACGTTTTCCCACAAAAAATAGTTCTACTTCCTGGTGTGCGATAACTTGCCCCGCCCTCATGTGTCTCACCTGTGTCTCGTTAGTCGTTAGTGTATTTCAACCCTGTGTGTTCCTTCACTTCCTGTTCTGTCATTGTCGATGGTCGGCACTAGATCATATACGGAATCGGGACAAAACCGGATGTAACACTCCTACTTTCAAATTAGTTTTAGACTAAAAAGTCCTAAAGTGGTGACTGGTTAAGTTTTCGGTGTCTGGGTAAGATGGTTAAGGTTAGGGTTAAGGCTGGGTTGGGGTTGGCATGAATGGCATGAATAGGTATTTTGTTATATTTACTTCCGCTTCCGTCCCGCTTCCGTATACGATCTAGTGCTGACCTAGCCTGGTTGTACCACACCTTAGTACAAATTTCATTTCATACTAAGGTCTGGATTTGCTCCATTGAGCTCCGTGAACAGATAGGAGGGGTTAACTACTTTTGCAGATTGAAACGATTGGATCTGAGTTTACCGTGACGTATGTAGTGCGCCCGAGTGTGTTGTTAGCATTTAGCATTTAGCCTAGCCATCTCCTTTGCTGCTAACGGAGCCCGTGGGGAGTAGCACCACAATCTTGACCAGCGATTACATTTGCTAAACATTCCTCTTGTTCCTGCTTCAATTTCTTGATAGAACCAGACTGGATTACTTTACTGTCGCATTCTTCGCCATTGCCTACAACCTGCCCGTTCGGCGCAAACTCTTGACGTCACCGGCACCGACCTACAACGCGCTCTCTGAGTAGCCGGTCGAAATACAACCGATTGTATTCGCTAACACAGGGACCAGACCCAGACGTAACATGCAGTGAAATGATAATTGAGCGGAGTGTACGGATGGCTATGGCCAGGCTAGTGCTGACCCATTATCAATGCCATGTCGTCCCTGTTTTGGTTACTTTGTGTTGTCTTCTTTGGATTTTGGAATTTTTTATACATTATTTTTTTTTATTTTTACATTAATTTGGGTTTAATATTGACATCAGTTCTCTGTGGTTTGGTTTTAGTTTGACTTCCTGTTCCCCTGTCTTGCTTCTCTGCCCCACCCTCATGTATTTCACCTATGTCTATTTTGTACCTGTACTCATCTCCCCTTGTTGCTAGTCCATTGACTTTGCTGGTCTATGTTTGTTTGTTTCATTTGGATTTTTGATTTGTTATTACCCTGGATTTTTTTTTTTATTGTGTTCATTAAATCATGAAGGGCAGATGACCAATACCCATGAACGTTAAAAAAAATCCGTTGAATGTTGTGTAGGTCGCATTGGAATCCTCATTGACTGTGTTATAAAAGGTGCTAGCCAAACCCCTCTCAAAGTAATTCACTCGAGATAGAAGCAGTGAGACGAGGGGAGAGTGGAGTGTGGTTCAGGAAGAGAACCTTTGCCCAGAACGTGCTCCGTGTGGCGGGCGGCAGAATCTGGAACGGTGCGATGTCAGTCAGGGTTAGCGCCGCCTCTGCTTCACTTCAAACATGGCTCATTAGCATTCCAAGATACGACCGTGAGATAGAAATAGTCCATGCATGTCATTATCTATGCACAATAGCAAGCATGTGTGGATATTAATGGATGTACAGACATTATCAGATGATTTATGGTTTCATTGCACTGTTTTGTCACGAGGTGGAACGACAAAAAGAGGCCAAAATGCAGGACTGAAAACGAGTGATGAAAAATAAGTAAAAAATTGCTAAAGTTTGGCAAAATGTATCATCATTTGAGCACATTTTGACTGCCTTAAAAATAAGACTTGCCGATGGGAAAAAATTATCTTGTTTTAAAGAGAAATATTTCCGTTGAAAGGAGACTAAATGAAAACCAAATTAAAGTGATAGTATGCAGTTTGTCAGAAAAAGAGAGAGAGGAACATGATTTGAAAAAAAAACCGACCCAAGCTCCCTCCCCCTCCTTTCTGATTGGTCTTGAAGCCGCGCCTACTTTCCCGTGCACGCGCCAGGTCAAAGGTGCGGAGGAGAGAGAGAAACCGTTGTCAATAATGGAGTTATCGGAGGTGAGGATGCATTTTTGTTTTGAAATTATTTTTCATGGAGATAACAAGTTTATGTAACTAACTTTGTACTAATACTCTAAACTGGCATGTCCTGTAAATATGTAGTGTTTTCAATCGATTTACATTGTTTATAGCTTGCAATGTTGTTATTACTCATTTGCTATGCTAACAGCTAGCGTAGGATTTACGTATTGTCCGGTCTTTTTAGTGTGTACACCTCTTTAGATGTGGGCCAGATTGTTTTCAATTATTTAAATTTTTGTCATCTTCAGAGCTCTTTTATGAGTGGATCATCTGGTGAGGAATATATTCCCCCTGCAGCATCATCATCAAGGAGAAGCGCTCCAAAACGAAAACGTGCTTCTACCTCTCAAGGTCGAGGAGGGGGTTGGGGGCAAGGCCCGAGTCATGCAGGAGTAGCTGCTGTAAACCTGAGTGACGAGGATTTAGCCCGTGCTCAGGAGCAAAGAACACAGAGGCTAATCGTCGAACATGATGTTGAATATATTCCTCCTGTAGCAACATCTTCACTAAGCAGTAGCGCCCCGAAAAGAAAACGGGCATCTACCTCTCAAGGCCGTGGAAGGGGTCGGGGGCAAGGCCCGAGGCATGCTGGATACGCTGCTGTAAACCTGTATGAGGATGATTTAGCCCGTGTTCAGGAGCTTATAACACAGAGGCGAAACTTTGAACGTGTAAGTCCCTTGAGAAGTCTAACCATATACATAATTTGCATTAAATCATTGCAACATGCTTTCTTTTTATACAGGCACTCATACAGAATCTGTCTCCGGAACAATGTAGGGACGTGCTGACAAAGGCGGTAGATGGAGACCCAGGTGTTCTTTTCGACATAATCACTAACAATGCACCTCCCGAAAGAAACACATCCACTGAAAATCCGCCACCTTGGTGCAGATGTGCACACTGCCGAGAGATGCCAACTGATGTCGAGAAAAAATGCTGCTTGCATCCTCCAGAACTATGCATATCAACTGTAGCACATGTAGAGACATATATAATCCAGAGAGGAGTCTTGCGCTTAGCCCGACGACTCTGGAATGAGTTTCGTGCAATGGTTGATGGATCTGACCCTGGAGAAGACAACCGTCAGTTTCGCCATGCTGCCTACCGGCAGTATGTTGCTTGGCAGCATGGAAGACTAGGTGCTGGACGGCGTGTGGTCATTCCAAGCTGTATGGTGTGGAGAATTAGAGACACATTTCCAGATCCTAACGGGAACTACACTGGGTTCATACCAAGACGATTATAGTTTACATTAGCACTTTTTGTTCACATTGTTGCATTGCTGTTTTCACATGTTCTTTTTGATTTGATAAATAAAAAATATTTCATTACAATACTGTGTAATTACAAAGCTCAACTGCAAATTGCCTGAAAATAACAAATATACAATTGGTTACAGATATAATAAACGGTCAACCACTTTCCATGAAAAACTTTATTTACAAAAACACTATTTACACACAATATAAAAAAAAAAAGTTTAGATTTTATTTCTGAGGCAATCGTTGACCTGTAACAAAACCAGTATATGATATGGATAAAATGATGAATACAAATTCTACATTCAGCATTGTGAGAAGAATAAATTAGTCAATACCATCTCCTCGGGTGCGCTGGTGTTCTAGTAACTCCTGTGTTGTTGGGGCAGGGATAGTTGACAGCAAACCCAATCTCCTTGGGTCCATGGCTCTGTATTTTCTTTGACGTGGGAGTCCTTTTTGGCTGTTCACTCGTGCTGTAACGACCATTGTCTGGAGTTCCGGGATATATGCATAGTCCTTCTCAACTTTGATTGCATAAATCCTCCAGCACCTAGACTTTTTATTGAATACTTTTCTGTATCTAAAATAGAGACATAAAGATGGCACAAAAGTAAAATCATAGAAAAGCAATAAGCATGCATAGTTTATAAAGTGTGAACATACTGTATGGCTCCATCTGCATTCCTTTTAGCAGGTCTATGTACATGGTGATTGTAATCAAGGGCAGCAAGTTGCATTCTCATGTCCATGATGGGCGGGTCGTAACTAAATCTTTTGCTGGCATACATAAGAAGGTGGCTGTGGAATGCTTCCAGGCGTGCGGTTGATCTACAAATAAATTACAGTTTAATTTGATCTCTTCCGTATTTATATATATTGTAAAAACAATACCTGAACTTCAGATACTTTGGTACTTCTTTTAACCAACGTTCTTTCAGAATGATCTCACTTAGAACGTTGTGCGCCGTTGAACCTTTGACAAGCCACTCTTTCTCACGTTCACTTTCCAGTGGGTCATGTTGGCATGCATCTAGAGGCCACACATGTTCCCCAGTGACATGATGCAGCAAGCCCATCCACATGTTCTAACAAATGTTTGATATGTAATTCATGGTAAGTGCATTTGAATTGAACTTTCAAACATTACAAAATTGAGTTGCCAATCAATGGATGGCATTGCTGACTTGGCACCCATTATGCCGCTGTTGTTGTGATGGAATGCAATTTTATGCTATGTTATGTCATCACAAGCTTGATATTATAGTATTTGTATTTTGTAGATACTTACAAAAAACTCCTCATACGTGTTTGCTTTATTGCAGCAGAACCAGAAATGATTGCAAATATCTTTGTTCCACTGTAGTAATATGGAACATCCCTTTTGCTGGCCAGCCTACAAAGAAAAGGGTCACAAATTCAATGCTTGTACAATGTCAATGCACAACAATCTTTCACAAAGCTCACTATTTTACTTACTGCATGTATCTTTTTGCCCAAGTTTTTTGCTCCGTGCCACATATCGTATGTGTGTTCCACACCACTGTCTTTGAATATGCCATTTCCTGTGTGAGTATTACAAATTAAATAAATAATGTAATTGCTTTATATAGGAGTACCATTTCTAATGTCATACCATAAATATGATTTGACTTACGGAAAAGAGCAGAAATCTGTGTATGGGCATCGGTACAGACTTCTGTAAGGTTTACCTCTCCCTTCAGCTGATTGAAGCTCTTGATGAAAGCCTCTCTCTCCATTATAGTAGAAATCCTACCACATAGTCTTTTATCTTCAGTTTTGATGGACATAATTTTCTTCGTCTCATTGTCCATCAAGGTGTAAGTACAGTACTGGGCTGAAAATCCTGGGCTGTCCATTCTTCCATCGCCTGTGTCCATAATTAAAAAATAATGTAAATAAAAAGGTTCTCACCCAAGTAAACAAAAAAAAAAAAACTCAAGAAATTACCTAGAGCAACAACACTTCTGTCATGGACCTCAGCTATAACCGCTGACCGTTTCTCTTCCCAGAAGCTCTCAATGACATCATGACAGTATTCAGCTTGAATACGGTAGAACGTGGACTTTGCAACCATGCCCATATTCATGTACTTGAACAAAAGGGCTATTTTTGAATAGTTGTTGCCAGATAGGAGTATGTTGGTGGCCAGCATGAAGTCCCCACTCTGCATGCCAAATTTAAATTTGGGTTGAGAGTTCCACTCCCAAACAACATGATCATTTGGACAAATCTAAAGAAGGAAAAAGATAGTAATATACACAATTGCAAAAAGACAAAATGCATTACAGCACTGTAAGAAAAAAAAGGCATTCATACCCATTTTACAACCATAGCTGTTCCTCTGGTAGAAATGTCTGTCTGGTATGGTGCTGGGGCTCACACATCTGACAAATCTTCCATTTTGGCTGTGCATAATGTAATAGGAATGAGCAGGAACTCTGCAAGTTGCTGCACACACTTGTGGTACACTATTGCAGCCTGCTGACCAACAATGTCTCCAGAAACAGCCACTTTACAATTGTCAGGTATGGACACTGGGTCATCGTGGGGTGCTTCAGGAAGGACAATATCATAAAGTGTATCCTCCTCACTTATGTCCTGGAGATTTTGAAGTTCTATTACTTCTCTCATAGTGGCCCCGGTCCTGTGAACAGTGTGACAAGTGTATTATGTACTCTGTTTTACATGTTCAGTTTACATACACATACAATGAAGTCAACCTTATGCGATATGGAGGTATGTATTCTTCATCATTGCTGTCCTCAGACTCTTCCATTTCAATTGTCCAGTCTTCTTCTGAAGACGAAACATCTTCAGTCTCTTGGCTTGGTGACCATGTTTGGTCATCGTCTGATTCAAGGCTGTATCACAAAAGTAACAACGACTTAGTATGTGATATGTGTAAACTTGCTTTTGTAAGCAAAAGCTCAAATCCTCACATGGAATTTTCTATTCTGTTGTACTCCTCCTCGTTGATCTCTACAGGAATACCACTTGATGGCAAACTAAACAAAACAAAGAACAACATTATTCTAATTTATATCCAAATTGACCATAGTGGCAATCATACGGCAACTAAAAAGTTTCACTTACTGTCCAGTTACAGAGATTGAGACTTCACCTTGCCCCAGGACCTCCACCCCCTCTTCAAATGCAAAATCTCTAAAGAAATAAAAAGAAAATGTTAGTTTTAGTTTTTTCTCTTGCCACTCAAACATTTTATTGTGGTTATGTGGTGTTTAGGTATCTATTTTCCCATGGTTAGACAAAGGGATGCTTTGGTATTACACTGTATTTGCATTTGTAAGGTCAACACTCATGGCCCTTACTGATAGAGCACTCAAGTAGTGTATTGTTAACAGACATCCCCACCCCACCACTGGCTAATCTAATTTAAAAATATTCTCACCTCTCAGACAAGTCTCCGTGGATACTAGACAGTGCTGGAAAAGCAAATAGCTGTTTTTTGAAAGGTGTAGAGGTTGAAACTTGAGATCCGGTTTGGTAACTGGAAACACAAATATTATAATTACACCAATCGTAACTGCATTTAAATTCTCACATAAAAAGATATCATTTGACTCATATGTAAGGATGGCACAGAATCTGAACTAGCTTCCTGACTCATTCTTTGCTTACACCCTACAGAATATGAATGCCATGTCTATGAGATATGTCTATCTGACAAACAATAGTAAGCACCATAACGTGAAATACAGATAATTATAAACACACAGTTATAAACACTCACACAACTGACTCACTGAGCTAAAGTCACCAGCTGGTTATACAACTTTATAACTACTGTCGAGAACGAACCAGACAGGGACGGATCGTGGTGCGCCAAAGCTCTGGAAGTTTATTTAGGTTTCTCTCAATTTCCAGTGGTTTCAGTTGTTTCTTTCTTTCAGATAGAACAAAGCCAGTACACAGTTTATATAGTCATTGTTACGTCACACATCGAAAGTTATACGTGTCAAACCCAGAGACACCAGAGCATAATAGTCATAACATGAACACAGTCAAAGTCCTTGTAGAGTTGTCTTGCACTTGTCCTGCGTAGTCAAAATAGCTATCTAATCCTCACACTACAATAAATAGCAATAAACACGTTAATCTTTGGCTTTCCAAAAATGGAACTCGCGTGATCCAAAATTTGTACAGTTTTATGGCGCAACAAGTACAAGTAAAACTACTTCAACTAATACTACTACTGTGGATAGCCCTATCTGCAGGTTAGGTTGTGAAAAACATCTGCGTTGGCCAGTCACTGTATTGTACTGTTGAACATTGAATACCCACTGTATTCAATGTTTCACTTGTATACTAGCTTTAGGCTACAAGCTAACGCGAGACAAACAGCTCATACCGCTATTTAGACCGCGTAGTAACGCGGAGAATATGTAAAATACATTACAATGAGGCACCCACTAAATAACATATTCATTCGGGATGAACACTTGTGTCATGCATTTACCTGTCCAAGAGAAACTTTGCCAAGTCTTCGTCCGTTTTGAATGCCTTGAACTCACGAAGGTGTCTCCATCTGTTGAAAACGTCTCCGATATTGATTCTACTTCTGTCTCGCATTCGTTTTTCAGCTAATTTAGTAGCAGGACTTTTGAACTTTTTAAATTTCCTTTGAGAAGTAGAAGGGACACGTGAAATGGGTATCTTCTGCTCTTTAGCTAAGTGTTGATCCATGGCTGCGCACGGGACTTGCTTGTTTCAGAAGCTCAGCGAAAACAAACAACTGAGCATGCGCGCAGCTACGAGCACGAGCGCCGATGATTGACAGCCCTTGGCTTCACTTCATTGGTTCACTTCGACGGCATCGTGGATTCTGAGATATAGCTAAGAGAAGGGAAGGCGGGACTTACTTGTAATATTGGAAATTATAAAATGACTTATTTTATATCAACATATAAGGCCAGGAGGTCAATTTAACACAATTCTTAAAAAATGTAACTCATTCAGAGTTGCATACTATCACTTTAATACAATTATGATTTTTTTTCCTGAATGAATGTTTTATTTGGACATTTTAAATGATAAAAAACAAAACAAAAGTATTGAATCAATGTATAATTACATTATAAATTGTCCATAATGCAAGTTGTATAAAAAAATAAAACAAAAATGCAGAAGAAAGATTTGGTTCAAACTTATTCTACTTAAAATAAAATGTAAAACTTTCAACATTCAACGAATGTATGATCATTTATCAACATTTATGGACATTTGTCTTCTGCTCCAATGGATCAAAGGGCTTTTTCTCATTTAATTGTAACTGTTTGATTCTCTGATCTGGGTTGGCGAATCGACAGCTCTGTAAAGTCCTCTGAGATCACTGCTGTAGTGATTTAGGGCGGTACAGAAATAAATTCAACTGAAGTGAAGCCTCCACACACCACATGCACTCGCCGTCCCGCGGCCGTTCCTCCATCACTGTCTAAACATCTCGCATTCTCTCCCTCGGCCGCCTCCTCTCTGCACCTCAGCGACTCATTTGTCTCGGCAGATAAGATGTGTGAACTTCTTGGGGATCATGGAGGGTGAAAAGATTATTAAATAAATAAATAAATGAAATGGTGATAAGCTCACACATGTCCCCACAGGGCTTCCGTAGTTCGGCACGGGCTGCAGATTGAGGTGCAACAGTGACGCCCTAATCTATCCAACAGTTTGCAGGGACCTGGCTGCTGTTATCGTTCTGACATATCGACGGTCAAATGGAGAAAGCTGTAATCTATTGAGGGTAAAATGATATTCTGATACTATCAGCGTAACAATGGATTTTCAAGTCATGTTTTCGGAGAGCTCTAAACAAGGTGAGACCAGAGAGAGACCCTGGCCCCTGTAAAAGCCTTGTTCCAGCTTCTTCCCTCTGGCAGCAGATATTGTTCTCTGAGATGCATCTATTGATTTACAAGTGACAATTTTGTTTTTTTACTTTAAGTGGCACTAAAGTTCACTATGTTGTCCAGCCAACTTCAGCTCAATAGGCATGCTGTACCTTGAAAAGCTCAGAACCTGTATTTGTTATTTACTGAAAATACTACTACCATAGCCACAGCTGCCCTGGGGCCCACTGACAAAAGCGAGGCAACCAGTCAGTGCCATCAACGCCTCCCACCACCACCAACCACTCACACACACACCAGACTCATTCTAATGTGGGTGAAGTGTCTTGCCTAAGGACACAGCCGCCCCACTGTTGCACATGGTGTTCCTTGAGGTCCCCCATCACAGTTCAAAACTGGCCCTGCCCTGCTTAGCTTCAGAGATCTGACGTGGAACTCTTACCCCTGCAGATACAGCCACATGACGAGTAGTAACCATCAGAAACACCTTTTACTTGATTAGAATTCCACAAAAACAACTTCCATGTTGTGGCTTTGTCCTCATTACCCAAAGTGCCGTTGTTCTCCAAGGGCATTGGTTTTTTGTTGTCGGCCATTTTGTGCCCCATTTGTGGGCACTTTCATCTCCCCTGCCCACTTCACCTTTCGCTGGGGGCCCCTCTCTGTAAACACAGAGTCTAATCGTCCTGTGATTGTGCCGCTGTAATTACTGGCATGACATTCTCCCTGGAGACGTCCCGCTCCGGCGCTGACCTGCCAAAGCCACATAATACTTAATTAGAGACTAAATAAAAGAAAAGAAGCACCTCCTACTGAGAGATCCCCAGTCTATTTCTGTATGTAGAGTTATCTGCTCAGACAGATCCAGTAGAGGACGGGTGCAGGGTCTGGGTGTCAGCAGTAAAACACAGGGGTCTTTGGGGAGGTCCGAGATAAAGTTTTTTTTCCTGGGTGCCATGAAATGCAGGTGTCAGAGATGTGTTGTTGTGTCGGAGGAATAGAAAGAAGTGTGAAGTGTCTGGCAACGTCTCCGTCTCTTGTGGAGGTGGGTTAGAAAGTTCTGTTTGACAAAGTGGAGCCATTTTCTATGCTCTGTGGTTGAACGACACAGGAAACGACACAGGAAAACCTTTGCAGAAAAATTCTGCAAAGGTTTTCCCAAAACAAGACCTACTGTTGGTTTTAGCTCCATCCATGCATGGGGTTTGCTAAATAAATAATAATAATCATGCATTGGTTTTATACAGCATTTTTCTGGACACTCAACTCATCATTCTTTCAGTCCAAACTACTACGGTAGCCTCAGCTGCCATGGTGCACACTGACAGAAGCGAAGTGACCAGTATGTGCCATAGGCCCCTCCACCGTTCACACACACACCAGACCCATTCTAATGTGGGTGAAGTAAACTGATGTAAATAATGTCACTTGTATCTGTGTGTTTTCAGTTTCCCTCTAAAAGGTGATCTGAGGGGTTAAATTCCATCCATCCATTTCTGGGTCAGGGGGGTGACAGTCAGAGCTGCACCCAGTACACATAGCACCTGCCCCTCACTGATCCTCCTGCAGATGGTGAGTCCACAGGAGCTGAGATCTTTCAGTGGGAGCTTCAGGCAAAGTAGGGTTAAGTGTCTTGCCCAAGGACACAACGACAGCAGTCATCAGTGGGAGTCGTGAAGTAGGTCTTACGGTGGGCTCGAACCCACGACCTTCAGGCTCAAAGGCCAATGATCTACCAACTGAGCTACTGTCGCCCAAAAATTAAATTCATCTAATTAAAAATATAGGGTTTCCTTGTGCAAGTCTTAAACTCCTGCATCATTTTGGCTCGTGCACAAAAGTTGGGCATACTCAACACATCCAATGGACCAATGGCTCTAATGTGTTTGTTATTATTGAATTTCCTGTTTGATTTTCTGATCTGTGTTGGAGAATTGACAGCTTTGTAAATTATTCAGCGATAACCACTGTTGTGATTTAGGAAAAACATGTATTGA